CCCTGCTGGTGGAAGTGTATGCACGTTACAATTATTGTAAATGCTTAGAAATTAGAAAACACACCTTGAACACCAGCCAAGTGAAATGTATTTTTAATCATCAGGATTTGGAATTAAATCTGTTTCGTTGTTGTGGCTAAAATAACTAATCATCTACAAATTGAAGGTTACCACTAAAGTGTTAATTCCTTGATCCAAGTCCTTTCTCTGCGTCACTAATTCATAAATACACATTTGAGGTTTCTTGACAAAATCACAAAATCAGCACTGCTACGTTCAAAGGTGCACGTTTAGTTTTTGTTTTGTGGATCTTACATGATCACTGGTATTTCATCTGAAGCATTCAAGGACTAACACTGTACATATCTGACTTGGTATGTCATGAAGGGCAAAATTATGATGGGGGATGTGGGACTAATGGAGGTTAAAAGAAGAATTAATGTGACCTAAAACATGGAGATTGTTTTTTTGTTGTTGTTAAAAATAACCCTCCGATAATAACAACCTTGAAACTTGTGCATATGTTGAAGGAAAAGATGTGTGTAACAAGTTTGTACTGGTGGATGATTATGCCTCAGCTGTGACAGAAATCCAATAGGTATGTTATTGGTCCAGGCTGTTGATTTGCTGACTTGGTTTGGTCTTCTTTGCTTGTTCAAACGTGACTGAAACTGTTGAGTTTGCTGATAAAAGAGGTTATATTAGATTTACTGGAGACCAGCTGACTCTTACTCTACCTCTAACAGTAAATGATGACAAAAGAGATGCACGACCATCAATTTCATTTAATAATTCATTTATTGAGGTGCATTTCAGGCTTCTCCCTGTGAGGAAACATGGCCTCTGTGCTGCCCCAACCCTCAAAAGCATGTGTTAGTCATTACAGAGGTGTTTGACAAAGTACAGCTGATCATTGTTTGGTCCATAAAATGCTATAAAATGCTGAAAATGTTGATCAGTTTCCCAAAGCCCAAGGTGACATCCTCAAATGTTTTGTCCACAACCCAAAGACATTCAGTTTACTGTCATTAAGGACTAAATAAACCAGAAAATATTCATATTTGAAATAATTCTAACTTTAAAAAAAAGGAATTAGTGACATTTAATCGATAATGCAATCAGGTATGTTCAGCATTGTAGTTTCTTGGTGGAAGCCTATGTAGATCTGCTCACTCTGTCTCTACTGATATGACTGTATAACAGCACTTGTCCATATATGGAATATATAACAGGGTCAGTCACTACTTGCCTGAAACAAGTTTCCGGTACCTACAATGTACTGAAATGTGTCAGTATTGGTTCTAAATAACAATAACAGCAACTTTTATTAAAAAAGGTTCTGTAAATAGTTAGCTTACTGTTGTGATCAGAAATTGTTCTGAATCTCAATGGCTGTTCTGTAAGTAGTTTTCAGATGAATATAGCAACTTCTATGTGTGTGCATATAGGCCTTTAATGCCTTTAAGTTAAATCATCCATCGGGGCGGTGGCTTTAACTCAATTGAACGGTACAAGGTCTCACGCTGATGCATATCTGGTATTTCGTTGATGAGTATAAATTACTTTCACATGTCCTGGTCCTGTCACACTGTGTTCATACTTTGAAAACGTTGCCAGACTCTATAACTTTACAGACAAGTTCCATATTTTCCTGTTATTATTTTGTCTTTTGCATGATGTTTGATGTCTGCTGTCAATTGTTAAGTTCAGTTTTGTCTGAAAGCCGTTGTTGTTTAATCTGATTTCAGACACCTCTGCCACTGCTCTCCAACATGACATCCACCTGTGTGAAGATGATTCACTCCTTCTATGAGGACGAAGGTGAAGGAAGCCCTTCTAACCCCGTATAATTTAAAGGTGAAGACTATTAGCAGCTCAAGGAAACTGCTCAATGAGGGGAGGAAATTTAAGGATAAAACTTTCCCAGCAAACCTCGACTGTCTGGGAAAAATGAAAGAGTTCACGTCAGAGCGGCTCAGTGAAGTCAATCTGTCCATGTGGGAACATTTGCAGTATTTTAGAAAAATTCAGCAAATGCTATATTTCTGTGTGAGGTTATTCAGATGTCTCTCACCTTTTAAAGGACCTTAACCCTGATACATCATTTGTTGTGGACAGGACTTAAAGGACCGGTGTGTAGGATTTAGTGGCATCTAGCAGGGAAGTTCCAGATGTGGGATTTCATGAACAGTCGTCAATGCAAGACGTATACAGCGGTAACAGATCTGACCATGCAGGCCGGCACACAAAATGATGTTCCTTTAGCTTGATGAGCGTGTGGAATGCATCTGTGTTAGAACAAAGGAAGGAATTTGATGTGGTGAGATATCATGTTGTTTTTGTTGTGAGAGGAGTAAAGGAGGTTTTTAACTTAATGCAGCAGGTCTTGTCCTAGCATGTGATGCCTGCGCGCTAGATTTATTAATGACCACTGCTTGCCAAATTCCATTTAAAAAAAACAAAATCTGCAATTTCATCCGAATAACAAGCACTCGCATTCGCGACCAACCCATCACTATTGAGAACCACTGATCTAAACCAAAAAAAACTGTTTTGTTACACATGAAGCTCTCAGTTCCCTGTAATTTCAGGGGGTTAAGGGGTGGGTCTGACTCCAGGCTTATGTAAGACAATGTGTATATAAGTTGGGACAGTTTGCTGCAAAGAGCAGACTGGACACTTCCAAGTCATTCTCTTCTAAGGAAGCAGTTGTTGTTTGCAGCCGTCTTGCAGGTAATTATAACCATCCATCTCTGAAACATAGCTTTTGCATTTCAAATTAAATTCAGAATGATCTTATTCTGTCTTTCTTCTTGGATCTCAGAGTCTATCTGAAGCCTCTCGTCAACATGCCTGGAACTTGCACCTCTATCATCAACTTGCGTTACCAAGATGGCAGCGAGGGGAGCCCCTCCAACCCTGCCAAGTACAACAACCAGGACTACACCCAGCTGAAAGAGAGCTACCTCCGCAGAAGGAGACAGTTTGTGGACAACACCTTCCCACCTGACAACCACTCTCTGGGTGACCTGCCTAATCTGAGCAGCTGGCGTGAAGTCAAATGGCTTCGACCAGTGGTAAAATACTTCAGAATATATCTTTTCTCCCTTATGTTAATCTAATGATAAAAGATAATGGGAATACACATTTTTACATTGTGATGTTAGCAATGTTTTTACATGTCTTGTCTTCTTCTGATATTATTTTGTTGATTGTTGTATTGTTCAGGAAATCTTGAAACTCCAAAACATCGACAGCGAGCCTGCTTTCTGCACAAATGGAGCCTCACGGTTTGACTTTGGTCAAGGCGGTGTGGGTAAGAAAGAATCTCTGGCTTACAGCTAAAGGCAAAAAAAGATGAATACCTTGCTTAGGTGGAAATTTGAACTATGTGAGAAAAATATTTTCTTTACTCATTTACCAGGTAACTGCTGGTTTCTGGCAGCAATCTCTGCACTGACTTTCCATGAAAGCCTGCTGGTGCAGGTTGTGCCCATGGACCAGTCCTTCAACAACTATGCAGGGATATTTCACTTCAGGGTAAATAAATATTAATAATCATATATAAATGAGTTAAAACAATGCTTTCACAATACATTCGGGTCTTCAACTAACTTGTAATTCCTTCTCATCGTCTCTGTGTCAGTTCTGGAGGTTTGGCAAATGGATTGATGTTGTCATTGACGACTACCTGCCAACACTGGACAACTGTTTGCTGTCTGTGCACACCAAGGGGGAAAACGAGTTCTGGGTTCCTCTGCTGGAGAAAGCATATGCCAAGTATGAAACCGACTTACCCACACCGTTATAAAACACTTCAATAGGTGGCACAAGCACCAGAATCAAGACATTAAGACACAAATGCTAGATTAGCTAAACTCGCCATAGAGGAATGGTTTCTGGCAGCATTTTCATGCATTTTCAACTTTTCTTCTGTCTGCCTTAGAGTGTGTGGCTCATACGCAGACATGAACACTGGGCTGCCATCAGAGGCCTGCAAGGATTTCAGTGGAGGCGTCCACATGACTTACCAACTCAGGGAGGTCCATACTGCAAACTATGATACAGAGCTGTGGCAGTCACTGAGCAATGCCTCCGGGTGCAACTCAATGATTTGCTGTGGGAGTGCCCAGAAAGGGGTAAGAACTAATTTCTTAGAAAAAAAAAAAGTACAAATCAAACTCATTGGGGTGATTTAACTGTGTTGTCTGTTTCAGGGTAAGATTGTGAACACTGTAGCTGACACTGGATTGGTGGACGGACATGCCTATTCTGTCACAGCAGTCACTGAGGTAAATATATGGCAACTGAGGAGAAGAATTAAAATAAGAGCTGTAGGAATTTCAATGCTAGCAAGATTTTTCCAAAGTATTTTGGTGTTTGCTCATGTTTCAATTCATCATTTTATCTTTAGGTTGAGTATTACGGCTCCAAAGTGAAGCTGGTGCGCGTCATGAACCCTTGGGGCCAAACAGAGTGGAACGGAAAGTGGAGCGACAAGTACTGAAATTAATCATACATGTTATAGCAATAGAACCCACACTACTACAATTAGTACTACAATTAAGAACTGTTTATTTTTATGTCTATAATATATTTTCCTCCTGTGCTCAGGTCGGATTTGTGGCAGAAAGTGAGGCCAGAAGATCGCGAGAAGTGTTCTGTCCGTAACGATGGAGAGTTCTGGTAATTTAGCTACAATAACAGTACCGTGGGAAGTTTTGTTGTAAACAAACGCATACATCCTCTTCACGTAGCCTGCAATTTGCTCACTCCTACGTTTCTTGCTGTGTTAATTACCACATGTGCTTCCTTGTCATAATACATTGCCCATAGCCCCACTAGTGGTCAAAAACTAAACTGGATACCTATAAACAGTGAGGTCTGAAAATGAATGGACAAGAGCAAACATTTTATTCTTATTTCTCTTGCTGTCAGGATGGAGTTGGAGGACTTCTATAACTACTTTGTGATGTTGTCCATCTGCTGTGAGAACCCTAACTTCCTTGACGGAGACTTCACCTGCCAGTGGAAATGCATGATTTACGATGGCAGCTGGGTAGCCGGGAGATCTGCAGGTGGCAACGTGAACAAATGTAAGCCCAATTCATTCTTTTGGCTTTAACTATAACTGCAAAGGGAATATGTCTGTTGTCTTTTTCCTGTTATGTGTGCACTGAACTGCCACCTGAAGTGTCATCTGCTTTTTCTAATGTTTCCCATCACCTGTAGCCTCCTTTGCCACAAATCCTCAGTATCGCATCCAGGTGACAATAATAGACGAGAAGGAGCAGGGAGACAAAAACATCTTGCTCTCTCTGATGCAGAAACCTCTGCAGCAGAACCGCAAATCGATAAGCTCATACCCGATTGGACTCACCATCTTCAAGGTTTGCAACCTGAATTTTCATTAAATATTAAACAATGATTGAATAATGCAAAATGCATTTCAGCAAGCATGAAGATTATGAAGCACATAAGAAAAAAAAGTTTTATGTAAACCAAAAGAATTACATACAACAAAAAAACTAATAACAGCTCATTTAACTGGGAGGACACCTGAGCTCTGTTACCAAATTAGCAGTCACTGTTTGGCTATTTCTTGACAAGACTGACTTGAAAACTGTATAATGACATTTTTCTCTCCATTTCACATCCAACAGGTTCCACCAGGGGTAAGAGCAAATATCACACTCTTCATACCTGTGCACACAACGCAAACTCCACATTAAAATAACCTGAACAATGCAATTCTATGCTCAGGAAGTAATTTAATAAGGCTCATACTCTTTCCAGTCTCCACGAGGACGCCTGCCCGCCGACTTCTTTAGAACAAACAGACCTGTGAAGGATGCTTCTTACACCAATCAGAGGGATCTGATTGAGAATCACAGTATGGAGCCAGGAGAGTATGTGATCGTCCCCTCCACCATAAAGCCCAACATGAGTGCAGAATTCGTTCTCACTGTCTACTCCAAGTCTGATGCTAAGATCACGTAAGGACTTACTGATTATTGACATATACTATACGTCCCAATGGAGACTTTTCTACCAAAACAGGGATTGTATAGAGTGTTTGACTTTTCAGCCAACACAAAAGGTTTCATGTAAAAACGGGGGGTTGATATTCTGAAATGACACAGCAAATAATAAGTGACTGTGGGTGTAGGAGGCAGTTTTCTAACACATTCTCCTCTTTATCCAGCCCCCATGATGGACATGATGATGATGACGATGACGTTCTTCCCGAGGTATGAAATAAAATAATGTAGTGCCTACTTTAGCTGTAAGTCAGAGAGAGCAAATACTTTAACATTCACATGTCAACTTTAGGTACCAACTGAAAAAGAGAAGGACCCCATGCATGCCTTGCTCAACCACTATGCTGATCAGGTGTGTTATTTTTCTTGCGTTTACCTGTCTCAGTTTTTCCTTTTCCTGATATCAATGGATCAAAGAAAGTTTTTATTGTTTCTGTGTCCGTTGGCAGAATGGTGAGCTGAATGCCAGACAGCTCCAGAAGCTCCTGAATGAAAACTTCCCTCATGGTGAGTTGATTGATATCGTGATATTATATAATTTCAAAATGAATTCAAAACCCTAATTCATTCGTTATTAATCACAACTAAAAATCGTTTTTACAGTTTTACAACCAGTCATGTTACTTTGTTCCTCTGTGTGTACCATCCACAGGAACCCGTTACGGCTTTGCTCTGGACAACTGCAGTAGCATGATGGCCTTGGTGGATGTATCCTAAAAAGAAATATTGTTGTGAAAAATGTTTAAGCTTGTGTTACTTCACAAATCACCCTACGTTACTGTGGCAAAGAGTCAAAATGAAATTATAACATTCTGATCAGATCTGAAGTTGTTTTTCCTTAACATGCAAAGACCGACCGAAGAATGACGATGTCCTTCTCTGAGTTCTCAACTCTCTGGGAGAAGATGAATGAATACAAGGTAAGACATATTACAACTAATTCATTGAATGTGTCAAAAAAATGACACACGTTTTAAATGTAGTTTAATCTTCTTTGCAGAAACTCTTCCATCGCACAGATTTGAATCAGAAGGGATCCCTGTCCGACTATGAGCTCAAGAGGGCAATTGAGGCTGCAGGTAAAATGTTGCATTAATTTAAACTAAAAGTTGATGATAAGCTTTTACCAATACAAGACATGGGAACATTTTTCATATTCACAATTGTAACTGGAGTACTTCTGTCTGTACCAGGAATGGACGTAAACGACGGCATGGTGAGGATGATGATGTTCCGCTATTCTGGCTTCTCATCCACCACCATGGACAGCTTCATTGTTCTTATGTTACGCCTGGAAAAGACATCAAGTGAGTGACGTGGCAACAACCAATTGGATCACTTTCAAACCCACATTCCAATTTTGAGAAATTATAAGCTTGGTATCAGAATCATAGCTTATAGAGTATTTCTCCTTTTTAGAACGGTTATGTTGCATTACAAAATGTGATTTTTCTTTGCAGGTATTTTCAAAGACAGATCAACAGACGGAGTGATCCACATGACCTGGGAGGAAGTAAGTCTATTTCCACTTAATGCCAGATGTATTCTTTTGTTTCTCAAGATATGCAACTTACAAAATGGTTAAACGTGGCAAAAATATTGAAGCAAAAGTAGCAATGCTGCAACAATAATAGTCCTGCATTGAAAAGTATTATTATATCACAAATAAAAATTGCGTTTTAATGTTATAGTTTAAACAATGCATCATATTCTAAGCACAGCATATATTTCTAACCAGTGAACTAATAGCTAAAGCTGTCAAAGAAATGTAGTTAAAAGTACAATATTCCCCTCTGAAATGTAGTGTTGTAAGTTCAGTACTTTTAAGTAAAGTTAAGTAAATACATTTGGTTACATTTCACCATTGAATAAGCCATTAAAAGCATTTAAAATCCTAACAATTCTACAAAATGTTTTTTGTTTCAGTGGTCCAGCAGCTCCTTGTACAACTAGAGCGAAACCAGCACAGGAGCGCAGGACGCATACGAGAGAAGATTCCTGCAAACACTGCTCGATACGAAATTGATGTCTTTCCTGCGCAGAACCTGTAAACCAGGAACACGTTTCTGTGATCAAACGATCCTTGTGAAATAAACGTTGTTACCTTCTGAATTATGAGCTGGAAATCTTGATTCTTGCACACATTTGACCTCAAAATACCAAATGACTGCAGAACAAACAGGAAGCAACAGAAAAAGATTGTGGACCAGAAATTATTTTATTAACTCATCCCTGACTACATCAGAAAGATACAAAACCTCAACAAAAGTGATCAAACACAATCAAGTGTCTCACACCTCATTCCATTCATTCATCCTCCAAATTAAGCAATAAGATAACATTTCCTATATACACGCATTCCTTTATGTGATGTTTCAAGAGGTTCAAAACCCATATTTACAAAATCAGTGTTGTTTCACAATGATAAATCAAAGATCCACATATTTAATTCCCCAAAACAATATTGTCCAGGTCTTTGTCTCGTCACTAAAGACCATGAGTACACTCTGCTGTCTGAATCTGTCCACTGCAGCGTACGACGGAGTCACTGGTTACAGGATAAGGTTTGCAATTTACAATATTTGTTGTTATTGTCAACAAATCCCACGAAAAAGATGAAAACCAACCGACTGATAAGTAGTCAGAACCCTGGTTTACTCTTCTATACCAAATGCCTCTATTGTTGCAGGGTTTCTGTGTAATTTCAAGCACCTATTTCTAGAATCATACTGGAAAACATGTATGAATATATGAAAGATTTATTTACACATTACGACTGTTCCCCAATAAGCAAGACTGAAAAATGCAACTTCATACAAGTAACATTAACTTCATCAATCTAATCAATTTTGTAATCATCATATCAATCATGTTTAAGACATTTTATGGCCTAAAAGTCAGATGGGTTGGATTTTAGAGCCTTTAAGACCCTCCCAGACCTGTTTTGTCCAAAATTATTAAAAATACATTAATATGCCTCACCATTCACCTGGGTGACATGCGAATATGGGTACTGTAGTTTACTTTAATCAGATACACACAGTCACATAGAGAATACATACACTGTTCTAGTGCTGTAAATACTCACCAGTGTGCCAAATGTGTATTAATCCACAGCTAAAGTCCTCAACAAATGTATGTACTATTGTATACTCCTGCTTGAGCGCCGTTGGCTAAGAACTACACTGCCCTGCTGTTAAAGTAAACCACTGAGCCTCAAAAAGAAAAATCTAAACAGTTTGTAAGGTTTTCAAGATTTCTTCATAAGGAACCAATGGTAGGGAAGTCAAAGACCGTACTGACAGGAAGGAAGGAACTCATTGTCGGTTTTGGTATTTTAATGGGATTTGTTGAAAAAATAAAATAAAATAATAAGAAAAATAGCCTTATCCTCTAAATTGAGATAAAGGCTGTGTGTAATTCAAGGGTGTTTCCTCAGTCCTCCTCCTTCTCTATATAGGTCTTACAGCCTGAGCGTGCTATCTGTCTGGCCATGTACCGGTCTCTCGCAGAACACACAGTCTGATCTGTGCTGCGCTTCGCAAACTTGTTCCCCTTCTCCTCCTTTTCCTCTTTCTCCTCACCTTCCTGTCCCTGTCCATCTCCTTCCTTACTTTGTTCTTTCACTGCTTCTTTCTTATCCGGATCCTTCTCTTCCTTCACTGCCTTTCCATTCTCTTCCTTCACTGCCTTTTCATTCTCAGGTTCCTTCCTCCTCTCCTTCTCTTCTTCCCAATCTTTGTCCTTCCGCTTGTCTTCATCTGGATTCCTCCTCTTCTCTCTTTCCCCATTCTTATCCCTCTCTCTTTCTTTGGGGCTCCTCTCCCTCTTCCCGTGCCTGTCTTCCCTCTCTGTATCCCCCTTGCCTCTGCTTCTGTCATCTTCCCTGCCTCTGTCTCGGTCTCTGTCCCTGTCTTTCCTTCTATCCCTGTCGTCTCTTCTTCCTCCGTATCTGTCATCCCTCTCCCTTCCCCTGTTTCGGTCTCGGTCTCTATCTCTGTCTCTATCTCTATCTCTTCTACTGTCTCTGTCTCTGTCTTGATCTCTGTGGCTCTTCTTGTGTCTGTCTCTCTCCCTCTCTTTCACCTTCTCCTCTCCGCTCCCTGATGACGGTGACCTCTGTCTGTATTGGCGTTTTGAGTGTGCAGAGACTGTCGCAGGCTTGCTAAACCCAGACTTCTGCTCTTGCCCCTCCTCAATGTCGCTGCATGAACTCTGGATATTGTCGTGGGATGTAGATGAGGGCACAGGTGAAGTCCTCTCTGTGTCTTTTGAAACCTTTGAGGTTTGAGTACTGCGGAAGGAGGAACAGAGAGACACAATTAAAGGCTCAGAATAGTTGCTAAACATACGTGTGTGCTTGTTGTGTTTAAGGAGCTAGGACTGACTTGTTTGCTGAGCGATCGGGTATCGCCTCCTCTCCTACAGTCTGATTCAGCAGGTGGCGGTAGAAGCCGCTCAGGTCTTTTTGTTTCTTCACATCCAAAGCAGCTACACAAAACAAAAAGAATTCAAACAAATCACTGACATTGTGTCGCATTAAGTGGTCTCGCTGTATCACTTCTGCATCAAAATCTTGTCTGCATGCAGCCTAAAAATAGTTGTAAAGTATCAGACTAACCTTCCATCTCTGCCTCTCTCTTCTCTCTCTCCTGCTCCTCCTTCTGCTCCAGCAGTTTCTGCTTGTAGGCGGAAGTAACGTAAGCCTCTTTATCGGCAAACTGCTCTCCCTCCGCCTCTCTTTCCTTCTGGATCTTCCTCTCTTCCCTCCGTTCCTGTTCTTTCTTGCGGTCCTCGACTGCTTTCATTAACTGGTGGATATACTTCGGCTGTAATAAAGAGACAGGGACAAAAACCTTTATTAAGTTAATATTCATGAGGAACTTCAAGCGCTCAACATCAGTGAAACATCAGTGAAACAGCAGCGGCACAGTGCCTGCTGGCCAACAGGGGGCCCAGTGGACAGTCCTTCTAGCCATTGGATCACTCTGAAATCCCAACGTTGACAAATGTAACTATACAAGTGTTCGATACGAGCATGATTACCCTTTTGTCAGCGCCTCGCAGGATCTTTTTGTTGCTCTCAAGTCTCTGGTTTTGAATGTCGTCGTACACTGCATCATAGTCATATACTGTGCTGTCCTGTTCCAGGGCCTTGTGCATCTCCAAACGTGTCTTTAAACAAAGAGAGAGAAAGACAAATACCAGAGAAATGTAACTTACAGTGGAATGACTGTGTTTATAGCATTAAGCACACTAAAGTATTTTAATTCTTCCTTTCACCTGCTTCATCATTTTCTTTTTGACAGCTTCTCTCTGCAGACTCTCCCCAACTGAGGTCTGAGAAACAAAACAAAACATAACATATTTGGACACAAGTAAATGTTACCTGATACTTGGATATGGCTTTTTAAAATTATTTATTTTAGAGAAATCTGTTTGTGAAAATACCTGAATCATATCCAGTGATTGGTGAGCGACAAAACAAAAAAAAATTACAACAAATCTAACAGTTTACCCACCTCATCATCTGAGTCATCGCCGAATACTGAGGGTTTCTGCAGCATCGCCGTCTTTGCTGCTCCTTTCTTTTGGGACAGGATGAGCCCATACCTGTGGACAAACAGGACTTCTTAAACGCTGTCCGGCACAACTCATCTGTCTGTACATGTATTTCACATGTTAGACCTTCACAAGTCGTAATCCATCAAGTAAAGTGTCATCTCTACTGGGACAAATGCAAAGGCGTCGGATACTAAAAATACAGCTGCGATTTAAATGAGAGGCAAATGACCTTAAAGTGGAGTGTTTTTGCAGTGAGTATGTGGATGGTGAGGACTAAAGATTTGTCTTTCTATGCTGCTTTCAAAAGAGATTCATTTGAATTAAACAGACAACACAGTTCATATATTCTTGAATTTCCCTGGCGATAAATAAAGTATCCACATGGGTTATTCTATCTATCTATCCTCAAATACTGCATGTCAGTTTTCCATTTTCCAATGGCAAGACAAGCCCTATTCAAAAGATGGAATAAAAGGATATTAACTTGCTCTTGAGACAGGTGACTTTATGCAAATATAAGGTGAAGCACACCTTCTACTGTGCAATAATAAGTCGTGCACCAAAAAGAGAAACAATAAAAACCTGTGCGGAATAAACCAAATGAACTGCAGCCTGAATGACCAGCGTTAGCTTTAAAAGTTGTATCGACTCCCTGACAGTCCAAAGATGAAGAAGTGGTTCATAAATGTGAACATTTGAACCATTATAATAAACAAAACGGGCCTTAGTTTGTTAACCAGCTGATGTTTAAACGAGGTTAGCACATCGTTTTAGCAACAGGGGCAACCGACGTTTTACCAAATAACCCTGAGCTGTAACACCACGGCTGCTACAGTAAATTAAGTCCTTTCTCATCACTACAACTATAACCACAAACTAGATACACGGGTATCGTTTGAGGTCAAACACACACTGTAATAAACGCGTTAGCATGTCTGCAACTTACTGTTTAGTAGGGACCGCCATCTTGTTCTGCTGACCGATTCGACACAATATTTTAGTAAACTCATTCAATTCAACTTCTACTAGGTTACATTTCATTTAAAATGTGACTATATGTGTTATTATAGCTGCCGCACACGTGACCGATATTTATCATTTTGGAGGTTATATTTGCTTCTATTCACTCATATGTGGATTATTAGTCTGTGGCGAATGTGTGGACCTCCATAGGGTTTATGTGTTTACTTAAAGAGTAGGTCTACCAATAGATGGCAATGTTGCTCCAAAGTGAAAGTTATTGATCAGTTTATCGTCATTAACCTGGTCTGCACCATGAGTCTGCACACAGAGCAACTATCACGGTTAAATCCAGAGAAATAAAAGTTGGACATATCTCCAAATCAAAGAAAAAAGCAAACATCTGTATACAAATGAAATAGTATTTTATCTATAACTTCTGCAATAACACAATCTTAAAACTCATTACTATTTATTCCTTTTCTGTCAGCACATACTGTGAAATGTGTTTACATTTACTTTGTATATAGGCTCTTATTATATTATTATGTCTCTTAGGCTCTTGTTATATTTCTATTTTTAACTTTTATTTTTACTTTAATATATGTATACACATATACATTGATTTCTATTCTATATATTGTGTTATATATTGTATATGAGTGCTATTTATTTAACATTGTGTGAGTAGAACAACTGTAACAAACTAATTTCCCCCCAAGGATCAATGAAGTATTTCTGATTCTGATTCTGAACTTTGAACTCTGTTAAGATATAATGATTATAATGATCATACTAGATATAATTTATCTCTGGGATGTGAATAATTTAGTCTTCTGAAAGACTAGATATTTTTTACAATTGTAAGCAAAATTACACACTAACCAGTACACATTGACTACTGGGTGAATTTAGGCTACACTTATTGAACTAGAGAAGTAATGTTCAATTCTAAACAAATAAGGATCATGTCAAAAATTGGTTATATTACAATACATTTTTGGACAGACATATTTTTTTCTTCATACCAAACGTGACTATTTGCTACCCTTCATCATTCATTCAGGATGCATATTCATGAATCAATAACAGATCTGGTAATGTAAAACTATTTAAAAACAAAAAACAACATTAGAGCAAAGTACAGAATAAATACATCATCTTATGTAGAAGATGTTTTTTTTCTCCATATTTCTATCCTGGTAATCATCACGTGTACTATTCTCATGGCCTATTGAAGGGGTTCTGACCTCCAGGTTGGGAACCAGTCAATATCAATGATTAATAATCAGAAACCAGAGCTTGCAATCTATATCTATTCTATTTCTGTGACTACACATCTTGCAGCTGCAAAGTGCTAAACCAGAGATACAGAAGATATCATGGATTTATCATTGCTAATGATTACAGTGAGGAGATAGGGGCTAATCAATGACATGAAGCGCTTCTCTAAAAGATTAACTGTGATGAAATGTACAAGTGAGTCTGATATTCTTACTGGATAGGAAACGGAGACTGAAAGTCCGTGGCTATTGTCTGTCATTGTTTATGTTCAATGCTGTCAGATGCTCTGTTCTAAACCTCCTAAGTCATTCTCTTAAATCAGATCAGAGAGCACATGGCTCACCTGTGATTAAAGCTGAAGCTTTGCATTCCCAGTGCCTCCTCTGAGTGACCCTAAATCCAAACACCATTATCTCTGTCGTAATCTCCATCTCATCTCATCTCCTCTCTGGCCTCACTGCTAATCCCTCTGGTACAAACAGAGCGACCAAAGCTGCCTGATGGATGGATGAATGGACGGATGGTGAAGTTACTTAAAAAGGAGAAGGGACTGAACAAATACCTTTTTGGTATCGATAACTGATACTGCTATTGACAACAAGCAAACAATACACTGAATTATTTGAATTGTGTATTGTTTCAGTCTGACTCCAGCTGTCTGAATCAGCACCCACATCTGTAATTTTTGGCAATTTAGTCTGAATATTAGGCTAGTATTATTTATGTGTTGGAGAAAAGGAAAGAGAAACCAGGTTGTACATCAGCAGCTGTAATGACAGTGCTGGCGCTGTGCTGTGTGTACCTGCACAAACGGATACCTGGGCATGTGCTAATGACACACACATCACGTTTGAGTGTGTGGTTGCTGCAGCTATCCCAAATCTGTGCCCTTAGGCTGTGAAGACTACAGTGTAGCAGTGCAGGTTCAGACGGGCAGGCTGCACCTCAGGAGTCATGAAACATCACCCGGTGTTTTTCCCTTGATCAGTACAGCACACACTTCAGCTCAAATACTGTATGTACACAAAATAACTTATGGCTCCTAACTTGATGACCATTAGGAAGGTAGACCTTTCTTCTTTTCTGAAGCTTTAAGTTGGGTTACCACATGTTTAGACTGACTCTGCTAAACCAATACACAGAAATACAATTATGTATACTTTATATGGATACTGTAAAGTAAACTAACACACAACCTTCACATTATGTATTCTCATTTTATTTTATGCTTAGAAGTGACACTGATGCAAAGATAAAACACTCGTGACTTAATTGAATTGATTTTTATTGGAGAGATTAAGAAAATTATTGAGGAACTGACTTTACCTAAGTTGCAGTGACTTAAGAACTCACACATAAAAATAAACTTAAACTACTGAATATAGTACTTGATGAGGTTCCTAAAAAGATAATTTAGACATGAGAACTGAAATGTCTCAAGATTCCCCTTGGGATAAATACAATTATATCTTATCTTATCTTATTAATAGTAGGCCTAATAATAGTTGGTTAAGATGTGTAACGTAAATACATTGTCTTTTAAGAACAATAAAGCATATTAATGTATTATTTAAAGGGACACTCAACCGATTTTACACATTGAGGTCAGTTTACTCTCATGAGGAGTACTACTCAGTTGTATAATGTCTTCTGTCTATTTACAGTCCTAGAAAATAACCCAGGTTATGTCATCAGGATTATCTTGGTTTAGGCTTGAAGACTTCAAATTTTTTATGAAAAGCCTAAGTTCCAAACATACGGAAGCCGAGAACGGCCATGGATTTTTTTTTAATGCACTGTTATGTCGAGATAACGAAATTAATTATTTCGTTATCTCGACATAACAAAGATCGTTATCTCGTGATAACGAATTAATTAATAATGTGTTCGTCTTGACTTTAAACTAATGCGATAATG